GATCAATCATCCAAAGTGCAATTGATAGATAATATCAATTGTCTATTTCAATTCACCAAAAAATGACTATAAATAGTTACAACTTTCAACGTAAAGTATCATTCCCCCTTTTCTTCTTCTTTTTATAATAATATTATGTATATATATTTTATTTTTTAACTATTTTAGCTTCTATTCATACTGGCTATTGATCAACATCACGGGTAAGTATAGTTTTAGTTCTTTTAATTTTATTTTTTCTTTGTCTCAGCTTTTTACCCCATTTATTTATTTTAATTTTATATGATTATAATTCTATTTTATTTTCGTTTTAGTTAATAATTTTACTTTTTTCTATTATCTATTTTAGTGACACAAAAGAGTAAGTATAACTTTTTTGTATATATTGTATATATTTTACGTCCTACGGAGGCCTTCCATACATCGGCGTGAAACTGGCCATGCCTACCTTGGTGCCCATAGCACGTACAGGCCGCATATAGATCTTCCTGTTGTATGTTCTATACACGCTAGATCTATGTCTGTACGTGAAGAGCCTTGGCTCTCTATGGCACCACCAAGGTAGTTCTTGGTCGCGCGAGCAACTATTAGCTGGTAAGCAAAAAAAAAATTTTTTCATTTCAATCAATTTATTTCTGCTTGTTTCGTTTTAGTTCCATTCAACAATTCAATTCAATTCAAACGAATGTAAGTACAATTATTTTTCATTCCTGTTGTTTTATTTTTTTGTAACTTTGTTTTTTTTGATTTTTCAAATAAACATTATTTAAATAACTCAAATTTTTTCTTATCACTTTACTTATCAATTATTTTATCTTATCAATAAATATTTTTATGTTAACAATAAATTATTTCAAAATAACTCAAATTTTATTTTACATTTGAATAATACAAAATTTTCTTTTCATTGATATCATAAAATTTTCATTGAAATAATACAAATTTTCATCTACATAATACGAAATTTCTTTTCATTCAAATCATACGAAATTTCTTTTCATTCAAACAATACAAAATTTCATTCAAATAACACAAAATTTCATTTGAATAATACAAAATTTTCTTTTCATTCAAATCATAAAATTTTCATTGAAACAATACAAAATTTTATTTTCATTGAAATCATAAAATTTTCATTTAAATAATATAAAATTTATTTTTTCTTTTAAATAATACCAAAATTTTATTTTCATTTGAGGAATAAAATATTTTCAAAGTAACACAAATTTTATTTTCACTTAAATAATAGAAAATTTTCATTTAAATAATCCAAAATTTATTTTCATTGAAATAACACAAAATTTCATTTAAGTAATACAAAATTTCATCTACATAATACAAAATTTTATGTTCATTCAAATCATAAAACTTGTAAAAATAAGACAAATTTTATTTTACATTTCAGGAATAAAATATTTTCAAAGTAACATAAAGGACAAGTGGCGGTAAGGCCATTTTTCATCCCCGAATATTTTTCAAAAAAAGTTATACTGTGAGAATCAGCATTCACTGCTGAGTGAAATAGGCTAGATTTTTTTTTGCAAGGGTGAAAAAAATTTTTTTATGAAAAATTGAGGGTCGTGGTCCCCTACAGGAACTCAAAAAAATTTTTTTTTTAATTTTCATTCCAATTTTGGTTATTCATAGGTAATCAGCATCGCTGATTACGAATATCATATTCATTTTATCTGAAAATGTCTTATACGTTCAGAGGAAAATTTTTCCCAGAGTTTGATTTTTCCATATCTTTGTCAATTTTCGACCTGTATTTGCCGTAAACCTCAACTTTGAAATGAAAAAGAATTTTTTCCCAAATAATCATACTTATTGGACCTGAAAAATAGGAATAAACAAACTTAAAAGAGGATTATCTTAAATTTTACTGCATGTCAATTGAGAAAAAAGTGAAAATATAGCCAATTGTACTCATTAAGACGTATCGTTTACAACTATAGTTGGTTGATCCCATTAGCCACCTAATCAAACCGATGTAGTTTTTCATGCTCTTTCCGATTATGATGTCAAAAATTGAAAAATCGATGCACAACAGATCGAAAATTAAAAAATACTGACACTAGCGCCATCTATACACATAAAAAAATATTATTAAAACCGAAAAAATATTACTCATCGAGAAAATCAATATAATTTTGGAATAGTTGTTCAATGAAATAGTTTTGAGTAGTTTTCCAGTATCTTCTGATCTGAATCTAGCTAGGCGTTGAGCGTTGAGATGTTTGTGTCATTCATATAAGTATCTATAAGAAGCTCTACCTCACTGTAGTGAAAAGCGTATCATCACATAAACATACACATTAAAAAGTCTTATTTCAGACTCAGCTGAAGTATAAGTAGATAAAAGAAGGATTTTTCCAACATTTAACTGGCCTTCAGCGAATTTATTCATTCGATTAGAAATTCTCTAATCTTTTGATTAACTTTTGTTAAACTAAACCCAACAGTCCTAGTGGGACTATCATTCTATAAAACTGCAAAATTTTATTTCGTAAACCTTTTTCGATGGCTCAAGCAAAGAAATTTTTTTGTTGCTTTTGCGATAAGTACCTTCGTAAAAATAAGAAAATTCGATTACTTGCCAATAGTCATGACCTATTGGAATACGTTATTAATAATAAAATCATTGATTTTCCAATACACAATATATGTTACACAAAATTGTACAATATGAGAAAAAGATCCAAGGATAAGAATTCGAACAACCAAAAAGAGTTGTTAACGGATATCAACACAGACAAAGTTGATATTGGTATTCAAACTGATGAATTGAGCGACAATCAACAATTTTCTTCATCTTCTACTGAAAAAGTATCTACAACTGATTTACAGACATCAAACAGAAGTACTGAAACAAATACAATCACTACTAAACAAAAACCTGGCTTGTCTGTTGAAATACCATTTTATCGATTGACAAAGTCACAGAAATATTGTGGTGTTTGTGATGCTGTTTTCGATGTAAAACGAAATCGATCCATTGAAATTAATTCTTCTATACGTTTATATACATTATTGGAACATGATATTTATATCGAGAACAAAACTCGATGTTGTTCAAAGCACGTATCTAATGACTCCTTAAAAGTGGAATCGATTGAAAGTATTAAACAAAATAAAGCAAGGCATTGTACGATTCATCGGGAAGAATTGATCGACATATTCAACGATATGAAAAACGAACTCAGAAAAAACTGTTCAAAAATTAATGAATTGGTTAAGAATCCACCATTAAATTTCGACGATGCAAAAGTATGTTTACCGGAAAAAGCTTATCAAGTACTAATGGGAATCACTCGCGACCAGTTTGATGATCTTTGTTCTCATATACCACGATCTAAACTGCGAACTTCTGACCTAAGAACATCACGTACTGCCATAGCTATGCTTCTTGTTAAATTGAGACTAGGTATCAGTCATGAAACTTTGTGCACTTTATTCGGACTTGAAAACAAACGCCAAGTAAGCAGGATACTTGACAGTGCCAATATCGCACTCAAACAACATTTCGTACCCAAATATCTTGGGTTCAATCATATTACACGAGAGGAAATTCTCAAAGAACACACACGCCCATTGGCTCAACAGCTGTTAGCAAACAATGATCCTAACAAAGCAATAATCATACTTGATGGTACATACGTTTACATACAAAAGTCCGCTAATAACTTGCTCCAGAGAAGAACTTACAGTCTGCATAAAGGTAAACCGCTTGTCAAACCTATGATGGTTGTCTCAACCGATGGTTATATTATTTCTGCTATGGGGCCATATCTAGCAGACGGAAAAAATAATGATGCTGAAATAACAAAAAATATAATCTACAATAACAAAGAAGGAATGGTGGATTGGTTGGCTGCAAATGACGTACTTGTTGTCGACAGGGGCTTTCGGGACGTTTTGGAAGATCTTGAAAAGTTTGGATATACTACTAAAATGCCATCTTTTCTACGAAAAGGTGATAAACAATTTACAACGATTCAAGCAAACGAAACCCGATTAATAACAAAGATTCGTTGGGTAATTGAATCAGCAAACGGAAGAGTAAAACAGTGGCGATTTTTTGACCACGTTGTACCGAATACTATGATTGAAAAAATTGGTGATTATTTTCGCATAGTTTGTGCTATAATAAATCGCTATCGACCAGTATTCGTGAAAGATATTAGTAAAGACCAAGAGCTTGGTGAAAAAATTTTAAAATTACTGTATGAAACCAACAAAATCAAAACATTTGTTCAAAATATTAAAAGTAATACTGAAAAGAAGTTAAAATGGATATCCATGAATGTGACAAATTCAACACCGAATTTTCCACGAATGAATTTTAATGAACTACAAGAACTAACTCTTGGAGTCTATCAATTAAAACAAGCTCGTGCTTATATTGCCGAGCATATGTCTACCGACGGAGCTTACTCGGTTAAAATAACTAATCAAAGAAGTGATCTTTTGAGAGCTCAAGTTCAATCAAGACACAAAGCTAATGTCAAATATGACGTCTATATTCAATACGATTCAAAGAATATTACTGGCTGGTATTGTACTTGTCCAAATGGAAGTAGAGTAGTAGGCTGCTGTGCACATATAGCATCTATTATTTACTATCTTTCATTTGGAAGATATAATCCAAAAGAATTACAACCACGATCATCAATATATTATACATCAATAATCGATGCCCAAGAATATTCAGAAATCTCTGATGTCGACTCAGATGTCAGTGATGAAGATTCTAATACATTATACACCTTAATTTAATCTTCATTCTAGTTTTTTCTACCACTTTAAATTATACTTCTAGGTATCCTTGCATTGAAAAAAACTGCGAAGAGTTGATTTCGTTGAACACATGAACAATATATTTTTCTATTCTAATTACGAAACATTCATATCTTTACGAACATATTAAGTTGCATCTTAACATCCTTCTATGGCAAGGCTTCTATTATGTATTAACGTTATATCTAATCAATTACATGTAAGAAAAAAAAAACTTAGGCACAAGCAGAACGGGCTCTACGCGCCGCCTGAGATCAGCGTTGTTTATACAGCGACTAACAGTTCTGCTCATATTATCTGCATTCACAGAAACCAATTTACTGACAAACTAGATGATTTTCTCGATGAGTAATATTTTTTCGGTTTTAATAATATTTTTTTATGTGTATAGATGGCGCTAGTGTCAGTATTTTTTAATTTTCGATCTGTTGTGCATCGATTTTTCAATTTTTGACATCATAATCGGAAAGAGCATGAAAAACTACATCGGTTTGATTAGGTGGCTAATGGGATCAACCAACTATAGTTGTAAACGATACGTCTTAATGAGTACAATTGGCTATATTTTCACTTTTTTCTCAATTGACATGCAGTAAAATTTAAGATAATCCTCTTTTAAGTTTGTTTATTCCTATTTTTCAGGTCCAATAAGTATGATTATTTGGGAAAAAATTCTTTTTCATTTCAAAGTTGAGGTTTACGGCAAATACAGGTCGAAAATTGACAAAGATATGGAAAAATCAAACTCTGGGAAAAATTTTCCTCTGAACGTATAAGACATTTTCAGATAAAATGAATATGATATTCGTAATCAGCGATGCTGATTACCTATGAATAACCAAAATTGGAATGAAAATTAAAAAAAAAATTTTTTTGAGTTCCTGTAGGGGACCACGACCCTCAATTTTTCATAAAAAAATTTTTTTCACCCTTGCAAAAAAAAATCTAGCCTATTTCACTCAGCAGTGAATGCTGATTCTCACAGTATAACTTTTTTTGAAAAATATTCGGGGATGAAAAATGGCCTTACCGCCACTTGTCCTTTATGTTACTTTGAAAATATTTTATTCCTGAAATGTAAAATAAAATTTGTCTTATTTTTACAAGTTTTATGATTTGAATGAACATAAAATTTTGTATTATGTAGATGAAATTTTGTATTACTTAAATGAAATTTTGTGTTATTTCAATGAAAATAAATTTTGGATTATTTAAATGAAAATTTTCTATTATTTAAGTGAAAATAAAATTTGTGTTACTTTGAAAATATTTTATTCCTCAAATGAAAATAAAATTTTGGTATTATTTAAAAGAAAAAATAAATTTTATATTATTTAAATGAAAATTTTATGATTTCAATGAAAATAAAATTTTGTATTGTTTCAATGAAAATTTTATGATTTGAATGAAAAGAAAATTTTGTATTATTCAAATGAAATTTTGTGTTATTTGAATGAAATTTTGTATTGTTTGAATGAAAAGAAATTTCGTATGATTTGAATGAAAAGAAATTTCGTATTATGTAGATGAAAATTTGTATTATTTCAATGAAAATTTTATGATATCAATGAAAAGAAAATTTTGTATTATTCAAATGTAAAATAAAATTTGAGTTATTTTGAAATAATTTATTGTTAACATAAAAATATTTATTGATAAGATAAAATAATTGATAAGTAAAGTGATAAGAAAAAATTTGAGTTATTTAAATAATGTTTATTTGAAAAATCAAAAAAAACAAAGTTACAAAAAAATAAAACAACAGGAATGAAAAATAATTGTACTTACATTCGTTTGAATTGAATTGAATTGTTGAATGGAACTAAAACGAAACAAGCAGAAATAAATTGATTGAAATGAAAAAATTTTTTTTTTGCTTACCAGCTAATAGTTGCTCGCGCGACCAAGAACTACCTTGGTGGTGCCATAGAGAGCCAAGGCTCTTCACGTACAGACATAGATCTAGCGTGTATAGAACATACAACAGGAAGATCTATATGCGGCCTGTACGTGCTATGGGCACCAAGGTAGGCATGGCCAGTTTCACGCCGATGTATGGAAGGCCTCCGTAGGACGTAAAATATATACAATATATACAAAAAAGTTATACTTACTCTTTTGTGTCACTAAAATAGATAATAGAAAAAAGTAAAATTATTAACTAAAACGAAAATAAAATAGAATTATAATCATATAAAATTAAAATAAATAAATGGGGTAAAAAGCTGAGACAAAGAAAAAATAAAATTAAAAGAACTAAAACTATACTTACCCGTGATGTTGATCAATAGCCAGTATGAATAGAAGCTAAAATAGTTAAAAAATAAAATATATATACATAATATTATTATAAAAAGAAGAAGAAAAGGGGGAATGATACTTTACGTTGAAAGTTGTAACTATTTATAGTCATTTTTTGGTGAATTGAAATAGACAATTGATATTATCTATCAATTGCACTTTGGATGATTGATC